CAGACCACTTCGAATTATTTTATTCGATTAAGCTAACGTGCCTATCACGTTGAGGTTGGCTACGCCAGGATTCGTTTTCAGCAAGTAGATATCCACACAAGTGGACCTTGTTGAAAAATACGTAATCGTAAAATGTAGCATCGTGCTACAGATGGCGTTCACTGTGCCGTTTGTAGTATTTTCTGAAACGCACTGTTAAGACAGAAGGTAAAAGTTGGTCTGTGTTCTGTCGGGCTGCCTGCGACGCGCTGATGAGATCCAAAAAGATCGAAATCGCGATCCGCGTCTGGCAGTTCCGACAGAATACAGACCGCTTCGAATTATTTTATTGCTAAAATATTTGAAGAAGCCACTGTGTGAGCGAAATAACTGTTAAATGTAAGTTACCGAAACTTCACCATAAATTTAAACAGTTTGGATATATTTGTGTTGTAAATAATTTATGAGTGTCTAAATATGTGTCAGTTATGTAATGCTACATATTCCGGAATTAATTTCGGTAGGAGACTTGCTGACACATAAGAGCAATAATTAGCCAGTGTTTAGGCAAGGTCCTTTGATTTGGATGACGGATGCCGCGTGGCAAATTGCGTCTCACGTTTAGTCGTTGCGGCAGACGGAACGGCGGCGGTAGAGGAAGCGTCGCGACGTCAGCAGGGGCCAGGCTGACGTTGGCATATACATGTCGGAGCTTACGGGCAAAGCTGATGTCTAGAGAGATGGATATCCGGATTAATTAGCGGGATAAGTAGCGAGTTAAGCAACAGCTCAAAGAGGAACGTCGGTGCGCGGCTTTTGCTCCAAGATTTATGGGGCGGGACGGTTGGGCGCCGAACTTTTTGCCCAGATTGATGGCTAGCGTCGAAATAGCACTCGGAATTAAGCGGCTTCGCCACCACTGCAAGCGGTTCGCGACCCTAAACACGTGGAAAAGGGCGCTTGAATTGCAAATTGTCAAGAAAGACGGATGTTTGGTCTTTTGTTAAGGAAAAGTGGCACGCGATGAGAAAACAACCCAGAAACAGGTTTACATTGAATTTAAACTACGATTTCAATGCACTAATCAATAAGGTTATTCGCGATTGCAGAATTACACGTCACTTATATAAAACATTATGTGAACCAATAGGGGACGTATTCTATCTATTTTATTTGTTTCATATGCTATAATGTGAGATGCACCTGATAGTGATTTTACATTCCATTAAATACCACCCTCACCAATGTCTCTACGGAGAAAACTAAATTTTTATGACAACGCAAAAATAACAATTTTCGATTGTAAATGACTGATTTTGCCGTAGAAATCATAGAATTTATTAGGTGACTTGTAATAATCTCAATTTTGACATGTTTCTTTAAAAATTATTTCAAATATCTTAATTATTACAATTAAATTTGTAATATCAACTAAAATACCTAGTAAATTTATTTCTGCTGGGATTTTATTTTCACAAATTTTTTTTCATTTTCTCCGTGTCAAATTACATTCAAAAAGTCGTTCAACGCCAAACCAATGAAATTTTAATTCTTAGTTGGTGGATTTTCGACGAGTTGAAAACGAGCTTATAATGTTTATAAATACTAAAAGTTGTTAAGATGACAATATCGTACTGTACATAATAAGTTAAAGTTAACCAAAAAAATTCTTAATGTTCTAGGTCTTTTACCTACTTCTATTGAAAAAGAACTGTAAATATAAAATGAACACAGAGTTTTAATAAAACGTCTAGAAAATGTTTCAGAAGTGATTAAGAAATTAACTAAAACAATTTATGAAAAAAAGACTATAACACAAATTGTGTCCGGCAACTCCACCAATTCTGTTTAATAAAATAAAAGAATTATCTTATTTTCCTCATTTACTAATCTGCAATTGACAGAAAACAACACAATATTTAATACATTGTGTAAAAACATTACATTTTCCTATTAGACATTTACGTAAGCATTCTGTAAAACTTTAAAACAAACATCGAGCTTACCCTGTAACAATATACAAATATATCTAACAAAGGCTATGAGTTAAAGCGCGTATTTTTGCGAATATCCTACGGCAAACAAGAGAAAGAAAACGCTTTTAATTAAAATCATCCATTATTTACGTTCAAGTCGAAAACAATGCAGTAAAAGGAAATGATCCTGTCAATGTTAAATAACGCAACGTCTGCCCCTGTGGATAGACACAATAAACGAAATTCCAGAAAATCAGCGTACTGATATGATGCCCCTGTTTGTATTTGTTTTGTAGGCATTCGCGTACGTAACACAAAACAAAAAGCAAACGCCGTTGTTTACGTGTAACGCTGAAAGTAATTCCAATAAACAACTGCGGCATTTTGCGTTGAGCTTTTCACTCCACAGTCAGTCCGTCATTCAGCATGTCGGCATCAAACGTACGAAATAAGTAGTATTGTCCCGGTAGAGCATAATACCAAATTAAATTAGAACGAACAATCGAAGGGTACACGCTTTGTGAATTTGTCTTCATTATCTCTTGACAGGCCGATATGCGCACAACACATTTATGCACTTCAAGCCGTGACTCAGGCAACGTTATTTGAATTTCAAATTTATAATCGCATCAACTTTTCAACCATTCGAAATGGAGAGAAATAAGCTTATAATACATTTGTGCTTTTGTTGTAAACAAACAAAAAAATTAGTCTTCATTTATCTGTTTTTGTACTTTTATTAAATCAAAAATGTTGCGCAGGTACTTTTTTATTTTTCGTAGCGTGCAAAGGTGAAATACAACAGTTAGCTCAGGGTTAGGAAGGAGACAGGGAAATTTCTCTTATACCTAGGGAATTTAAAGGGAAAAGAAGATTTTTATTTTATTTTATATAAAATCTACGGAATTAAGCAAAAGAAGAAAGTGTGATCGGGCTTTCTGGCCATTGTGGGGTGATGAAGTGATATCAACCGAGCGACCGTCAAGATACAAGTTAGTCAATAAGGAATTTCCATAGACGTCGGCCGTGAAAGCCTACATTTAAAAGGCAAAATAAATTGAAAAGCTTTAACTAAAAAAAAGATCAAATATTTCATTAAATAGTTGTGAAGAACTAACAAAGTCATTGGAATCATCGGAAAGTAACGGAGAAGTTTTGTGATGACGGTGATAGTGATGAAAAGCTCTTAAAATTAATTTAGAGGGTTAATTTTGCTATTAACATTGATAGGAACTTGGTTAATTTTGGTTAACTCGTTATATTAAAATGATTTCGAGTACTTGCCCTTGCGTTATTACATTTTAGAGTAATTAAACTACAGAACCCTTTTCTTGAAATTTTCTCACTGTGTTACATACAAATAAATAAAACAAAAGCATTTTTTAATTACTGCTCTGCCTCAAATGGTTGGTGGTACAAATGAGGGTATCAACAAAGCGTTTTTGTTTCGATGCCTTAATGACCAGTTTACAATAACAGTTGGGTCTGAATTGCTCAAAAACATTTTACTAAGAGAGGTATTAAAGTTTCGAAAACGGAGCCATTAATACAGACTCGAAGATAATTACTAATTAAGAGATTATGTATTTAAAAAGGAGTCTGTGTTCTACAAAATCTCCTTTCCTTAAATCCAGTTAAATAAACTTGAGCTCCCAGTAATTGGTTTGTCCAACAGAGAGTTGCCTATTTTATCCGCAGTAACACCGAAATTCTTAATAACTTATTCCGTTTTCTTAATTAGTAGAATACGTTTAGGCAGCTTGGAAATTTAGTTAATGGTCTTTGAATTCAAAAGAAAATGATAAGATTTTATACGACTCAAAAGTATGACTTTGAAGAAGACAAATAATTAATTAAAAGAGATTAGCATGACTTAAAATAAAATTATTTTTCGTTAGATACCTGTCCACTTATATGTATAATAAATTTTATCAAACTTCAAAAAGCTTCACTAAGGCGAAAATACTAAACAACGGTTGACAGAAAAACGGGACCTAAAAATTTTAAAGGCCCGACGTAGTACAAGCCAGCACATTTTTTCTTACATTTAATGTTATACAATTAATTAATCAGACCATTTATTTAGAAGTTGAACAGAAAAAAATACTAGGTATCTACTACAATTCTTTTAAATGTGTATATAAGTCTGGAGTGCGGCGGTGTACGGGTGCGAAACAAGGACGGTGGACGCGGCGGAACAGGAAAGGTTAGAAGAAGCTGTGGTGTCACAGTCGAATGATGAGAATACCGTGGATAGAGAAGATTAGAAATGAAGGGTTATTAGAAAGAATAGGAGAACAGAGGACTCTATGGAAGTCAATAAGAAAAAGGCGAGATACGTTGGTAGGACACCTTCTTAGGCATGAAGGTCTAGTCAGAGACATATTAGAGGCAGAAACGGGAGTTAGTAGGGGCAGAGGTAAACCTAGATTACTGTTCGCAAATAGTTAACGTTGTGGGTTGTTCTAGTTTTGGATTAATTCAGGATAGAAAAGAGTGGATATGCGTGTCCAACCAGTCTTAGGACTGACGACCTTATGATGATGAAAAATTAGCAATATAACTATACTGTCCTTATACGTTAAAAACCCATATTTATTTTACATTACCGCTAAAATAATGATTTAGTATTATCGTCATTTTTCTTTAAATAACACATGCGCATCAAACCAACAAAGCATTTAAAATTTCTATGTCACTCACCTATCAAAATATTTCTCATACTTATATCTATAAAAACAGGCATTGTAACAAGTACCTATTCCTACGAACATGCCTCTAATAAGTACTAAACCTAATAAAAGTATAACATTCATTTAAAATCTGGCATTCACGAGACAGTTGACAAAGCTTACCGCGAAGAGGTAGTTAGATCAACTAGGACCTTATCGGCGGATCGAGCCTTATGGCAGGCTGTTGGGGAATATCTTGCGGGTTGAATGCTTTGCAGACGGAGAAGAGTTCCCAACACCCTTCGAAGATTTGTTGTCGACGCAACTGAATTTAACGCTGCCAATGATCTGCAAATACCGAAATACAAAGGACCGATCGCAGTAATAAGACCCACGAAATAATAAACAATTGCGTTAAGAATTTTAATACCAAAACGGAATGTACCATTAAATCATGATTTCGGTTGAACCCGACCAAATAATAAGCATTTGCTAATGGAAAATATATAGAATATAGAATTTTAATGAATAAATCATTTATGTCCCATGACCGATGCCGACTTCCTTTATTACAAAAGTGTTTTATTTCGACGAAAATTGTCTTTCCATCAGATCGTGTGGGAAGGTGAAAGTGTGTTGACACAAACTTTAATACTGTTTGGATCGATATTTTGATCATTATGTATGTGAGCTAGAAGGTGCTTTTCAATGGCTTCCCTTTCATTAACTCGATACAAGCTTGATGATAAACACCTTAAACGGGTTAATTAGATCGTAAAGACCCAACTAAAACCTTATAATAACATACTGGATGGGACGTAGACGAAAGATATAGAGTAGAGAACATTTTTAATCGGTTCAACGGTCGTAATACATTAAACTCTATTAACATCGTACTAGTAAAGTTTGGTCTTAATTGTAACGCTTGTGCTTTATACCATATCTTTTACAGTCATTGTTTCTTATGCCAATTTTTCTAGGGTGCTTACGTTGGTTGTTTGGTACTGTGCTCTCCAAAGCACGGCCAAATTCGTATGATATTAATTTTAGTTGACCACCCATCCAAGAAGTAGCCACAGATATCGTTGCTTAACTTTGATACGATTGACCAACATCCAAGCTGGTCCGCTATTTATAATACAGTTTAACTAACTATATTCTTACATCACTTTTTTTACAATAATTTCTGCTTCTATACATAGTAAACCAAACGAGTGATTATAATCTATAAGCAAAGCACCATTCATTTGGTTTAATTGATTATAATTTTATTTTGTAGGAATATCGGCTTAGAACATTCAAAGATGAAGTTGATAAAGTTAAGTTTGGCATTTTGCTTTGGAAGTAATTTACGACGGTGCCGTAGAAAGAGCACTAGGTACTAGTCTAAAGTCCTAAAAGTTTATTAAGTGCAAGCCATGATGGTATCGATTGGAAAAGCCTTTTGAGGGAAAGCTCCTATTAAACAGAACTCAAGTCCCAAACTATCGTCGGCTAAGAGGACACCGTCGTCGCCGTCGTGCTTAAAGGGATTTACTTTTCGTCCTTATTCAACTTTTTTTGATCCTTTTAAATTACAGACAGCAGTCCTCTAAAATAAATTCAAATACAATCTGAACCAAAGAACTAAGTTAATTGGCAGTCGGGATAAATTAAGTTCCTTAAAACCTAAAATGCCCTACAAAAATCAAGTAACAAAATAGTCTAAAATAGTGATTCCAATAAATAAATAAAATAACTAAATTATACTTCGCATCGTTGTGGTCTACGTGAATGAACACTTCAACAATTTTATATTAAATAAAAATATTGTGATAACTTTTATTGAACATTAAGTCTAAGGGATAATGCCTAGTTCTCTCCCATATTCCTGTTTTTAATTAGGGTTAAAATTTTCGGTATGTCGAATTCCTTCCTAATTATGCATCAATTGCCTCCCAGACCTTAAGTGCTAATTGCCACTATAAAGTCATAAAGAGTTGTTTAAATAATACAGCCTCACATCACATATTAATCTTAATATTATTCATATATTATAGACATCACAATAACAATAATAATTTTATCAGACTACCCTTCTATTGGTCAAATACAAGACAAACTAAAACTAATAAAGTTTTTCTGGATGATTGCATCAAAAAGCTAGACGCACACGAATTTCCAAACATTGAATTTGTTAAGGTAGTGGGAAACCATTTTAAAATTAAATAAATAAACATTTCANACATTTTAGCAATGAAAAAATAGAAAATCTGGTTAAGTGTGTTAAGTTGTAGGTTAAATTAGAAAATGCCCATAATCTATTATGGGCTTATAGGACCATAAGTATTATTTAAATAATTCTGCAAACTGCATTCTGTAAATGGTAGATCTTTCTATCTAATTTACTTTTACTTTTAAGTTAATTCTAAAATCCTTTGTAAGTGTTTTTAGATTTCATGTTCAACTTTGTTTAGAAAAAACTAGTTGGAAACTTAAGACCAGAACAGATGAACATAAAAAATCATATTGTCATAAGAAAAACATTCAAATTATGCCAACTATTTAATTGTCAAAAATCGTAAGATTAGAGAAAAGTTCAAAGTATTACATGTAGAGAATAGTAGTGCATATAAATTTTGCTAGTTGCAGAAGAATTGGAAATTAATAAATTTTAAACAGGCCATTTATTGATTACTGAAAACAAATACATTTAAACCACTTCCGATGGATGAATGGTTCCTGCTACTAACTTTACAAATACTATATAAGTAAATCTGTTCCAGCTTTTGTCTTATAGTTATAAACATCTGAAGAAAAAAGTTGTTGTGGTGTGTTAAAATTTATAAATGAAGGTTTAATTTTCGAAACAGTGATTTTTTTTTAAAAGAACCGATTGCAATTGTTGCTTATCAAAGCTGTACTTTGTATTTTGTAACAACGAAATATTAAATTAAAATGGAAGACACAAATTAAAAGTAAACAATATTTTGGCGGAAGCGCTGGACACATCATATTTACAGCGTAAATGTTATCTTTTTATGATGCAAATAAAATAAAAAAAAGTGAACCTGATGAACATCAACTTTACCGTTAAAACAATCGCAATTTTGCTGAAATATAGCAAAGTAAAAATAACTTCAAAACTCTACCACCCATTTTGTGCTTTACGTTTGTATTTCATCATCATGAAGTCGTCAGTCCTAAGACTGGTTGGACACGCCCCTGCACTGTTTCCTATCCAGACCTAATCTTCATATTTCACTAAGAATGTTTGAATATTAATCTAATATAGGCCTACCTCTACTCCTTTTACCTCCTGTTTCTGCTTGTAATATGTCTCTAACTAGCTCTTCATGTCTGAAGTGTCCTACCAACTTATCTCGACTACTTCTTATTGACTTCTCTGGCTCCCCCTCCCTGTTCTCTTACTACGTGTAATATCTCCCTATTTCTAACCTTCTTTGTCCACCGTATCCTCATCATTCGCCTGTAATATCACGTTTCAAACGCTTCTAACCTTTTCCTCAGCGTTTGTATTAAAGTATAAAAAAATGCGGCGACCGAAAAGTTCATTGTTACATTTTAATTTAATCACTACACTAATGAATAAGATTTTAATAGGGAGATTCTCAAATATACCCTTAAGTGTGCATCATGTTCCTTAAATAGATCTATTGCAATTACTCCAAAATTCCGTGGTTTTACATTTGAATTATTAATTAAATGCAAACAAATCTACATATTTCTAAATTAACAAACCTAAAATGAATATTATAACTACATAATTGTCCATGCCTCTAACCTAAGCTTTTTTAAAAGCAGCTAAAAAACAATAAAATAAAATATTGAGGTATGCTTTTGTTTAACTTTGTTGCTAACTTCACTGCGGAAATTGCGAACTTTCGTCGTTAGATATATATGTATTCATTGAGTCACCCTGTATCTTGCATAAAATATGCAAAGGCGTGAATCAAACATAACTTTGTTTGTATTCACGCACGATATTGTGTTTGCTAAGATATCAAGACTGTCTAGTTATCGATTACTATGTTTACTTGTCTTCCTGCCTGAAAGCAGATAAAGAGATAAGGACTTGCCTTCCTGCTCCTGTCAGCACTGAATATATTTTACTAGACAACGCTGTGACGCTTACAGGTTTCGCCCCACCCTGCCATAATTAACGGTCTCTGATACAAGAACGAGGGTTAACAAAACTTTTTCACAGAATTAATTTAACAAATTCATTGTAGAAGTGCCTTCAAATTTAACGAATAGGATTTAATTCAAGTATAGTCGATTTCGTTAAGGTACCTAGTCCGGCCGAATTGTGAATAATAATTATCTAAGATGAGCAACTAAATAAAAATTTATGATACAAAATACTTTTATTTGATCAGAATGGTTACTTACTAATCACCATTTGTTAACGAGATCCGTTCAGATGAATTCGAATCACACTAATTTAATAATAAAATGGCGTAAGAAATCAATACTTAATATTTTTGAATAAATTCAAAGCTGGGGAGCTTTTCGATTTTAATTCCGTTAAAAGCCTTTTTTTCACTGTTGTCAATAAAAGGGTTTTAAAACTAATGATGGTTAATACAAAATTGATTGTTATTTCACCGTAAATACAAATTTGGTCGGATTACTTCAAGAATAACGCATTTACAAATTAGGCAGAACTTAAAATATTATTTACTAATCTACAAAAATTATAGAAATAGATTTTACATGTTGTTGAAAACAAATAATTGCTTCGATGTTTACATTGAAAATAATCTCTAAAGTCAAATAAAGTCAGTTACATTTTAGCAATGAAAAAATAGAAAATCTGGTTAAGTGTGTTAAGTTGTAGGTTAAATTAGAAAATGCCCATAATCTATTATGGGCTTATAGGACCATAAGTATTATTTAAATAATTCTGCAAACTGCATTCTGTAAATGGTAGATCTTTCTATCTAATTTACTTTTACTTTTAAGTTAATTCTAAAATCCTTTGTAAGTGTTTTTAGATTTCATGTTCAACTTTGTTTAGAAAAAACTAGTTGGAAACTTAAGACCAGAACAGATGAACATAAAAAATCATATTGTCATAAGAAAAACATTCAAATTATGCCAACTATTTAATTGTCAAAAATCGTAAGATTAGAGAAAAGTTCAAAGTATTACATGTAGAGAATAGTAGTGCATATAAATTTTGCTAGTTGCAGAAGAATTGGAAATTAATAAATTTTAAACAGGCCATTTATTGATTACTGAAAACAAATACATTTAAACCACTTCCGATGGATGAATGGTTCCTGCTACTAACTTTACAAATACTATATAAGTAAATCTGTTCCAGCTTTTGTCTTATAGTTATA